ATGCGGAACCGATGTAGGGTATCTCTTTAATTAAGAATGACCTATCATTTTTGAAATTTCCTTTTACTGCCATTTGCAAATATTTAGCAATAACTTAAACTCTGTGAAAGAAAGAAACCATTGCAGAAAAGAGGTGCTCTGGCAGGCAGAGCTGTGCTAGGTGAGCTAAGGAGCAGACCTTCAGTAAAGCTTTAGGTCCTAAAATTGGATTTTTGTTCTCAAATTATTGGAGTTTGATGCTGTAGTAGTGGTGAAACACTGCAGTGCCTTTGTTCATCTGGGTAACTAAAATCATCTGTTTAAGCTACTTCCATGTCTCACTGTACTGATGGTTATTGCTTTACTGTGTGAACCATCTGGTGCTGAATTACTATAAAGTGCCATGAGGAGACCAGAGCCTGAAAGAGACTGTGAGAATGAAGTGCAAGAATTTAGTTATTTCTTTAATTAGTTGTCTTTCCTGAAACTGTGCAATAAAATGACACTCCAACAGTATTCCATGTGCACACGTTACATAATGGTGAGATTTATTTCATGTGGAAGCTTGTATAGTTAAATTTAAACGAATGTTGCAGCATGTGCTGGCTTATTCCTTCACTTACAGTAACGTGACATTTCAGTATTCAAGGTTCATTAAAATGCTGAGACAGAGAGGATTTAATCATCCTAAGGATGATGAAGTATTATTACTACAAGATTTGGATGGAAGGTTCGAATTGCCATATTGTTGTGGTTAGGTTCAGAGGTACCGCAGCGACTGAAGCCTGTCACTGCTTTGGCCTGTTTCATATTGACTCTGCAAAAATCTGTGGAAAAAGTCTCAGCCAGTTGTGATTCCCTCTCACTTGAAATTCATAGGGATTGCTTTTGGACTAGCCTGTGCTGCAAGTTGGCAGCTGCAGCTTTGTCCCAGGTGTATGAGTGGATTTTTGGTAGCTACACAGAGAAGTTTTGGTTTTTAAGATGAACAAAAGCACAGAAGATCAGCCTGGTTAAAGGCTTGGCTCTGTAGTTCTCTGTGCCGAGCCCGGATGGTTGTGATCCAGTTTACACGTTGATGGAGGTTACATAACCCAAGCGTTAGCTGGAGCAAGCGACGCCTCCAGATCACAGCCAAGTGGTGCCAAGTGATTTGCACGCATGCCTGCCTGTCTGGGGTAGATGGTTTGGAAAGGGGAAGGGTGCTGCAAAGGGTAATTCTGTCTGAAGAGGTGTAAGCAGGAACAGTGTCGGCAGGATGTCAGTGAACCAGGTGGTGGCTCTCTTTAATCTCTGCCTCCACAGTATGGTTGCTCTCTGGCGTCATGCGACGTTCTTCTTTACGCTCTTTCTGTCCAGCTCCTTATCCTACCTGTTGCTATTTATTTTGACAACTATTCCTTTCACTGAGAGCAAAGAAACTGCAGTGTCACAAAATGGAATAGTGTCTATTCCCACTCTTCTCGTGCCGATTTTGGTTTGCAAAAGAAATCCTCCACAGCCTGTCTGCTTCACTGCTTTGATTTTCAGTGCTGTTGACTACATTAGACAGAACAGCTTTAAAAAAAATAAGGCTGTGGCGAAAAGTGCCTAAGAAAAATATCATTTTTAGTTGACTGTATGTGGGAAGTGGTGACTGGGGAGCAAATTCAATTGAGTGCATTCAGTGAAATAGTCTCGGTACGATCAATTAGATTTCTAATACTTCTAATGCATTATTAAATATAGCCTTTAGGAAGCCTTACAGCTCCTGATGGTACAGCTCCTGAGAAGGAAAAGAAATCTCCAGCACCTCAGACTAAAGCAGCCAGAGGGAAAGGAAAAGGGAAGAAAAAGGGGGGGAAAGGAAAAGAAGAGCCAGAAGAAGAAACAGACCCAAGAAAGCTTGAACTTCTGAACTGGGTGAGGTGAAAGTATTTGTTTTAAAACTGTGGAAAAAGAAGTATTTTTTATATTTATTTTTTTTTCATCCTGAGGGACAAAGAGAGAACTTTTCCTTCTATAGACCTCTCATTTGCTTAGTCTCACAAGTTCAGCTGTAGCTTCTGTAGGGATGCTGCTCAGTCTTTGAGTGTCACATCCCTCTCTCATCCCACGTGCGCTACATGCAGCCACACCGCAACAGCCCGAGTCAGTGCTTATCTACAGCATCTTCTTCCCTGCCCTTGTCAGAAGGAAATAAGAACGCCAGGGGACATCTTAATCCTTCCTTGTACATGTTGGTTATCCAGTGAGGACAGCTGAGTTACCTGGGTTAAACTTTGTGAGTCAAGGGGGTTGCTGCTCAAGAGACTTTCCCCTCTTGTACTGGGTTCTAACCCCTTGGGCCATATTAAGAGAAAGTCCATTAGGCTTCTGGACCAACAGGTTGCAATGGTAAAACTAAGTTGGTGAAGGATGGGGAAGTGCTTCTTCCCAAACGGTTTGAATCTTTCAGTGTTACGTGTTGCCTTTTTTCTGTAAGGCAGCAGTTTGAGTGGTTGGTACATATGCAAGTTACCAGGGTAAATTACATCAACCTCTTTTTAAATGTGTACTATGCTTTGTTTTGTTTTTTTAAAAAAGAGAATTTAACTTGTTCTTTTCATGTTGAGCAAGTGAATCTCTTTTTCATATAATGTATCAGGCATGGTATGCCTGGTTGAGTTAAAAATACTAAACGAATCTATTGAAAGTTACAGTTATGCTGCTAAAGGTTACTCTCACTGCTCTCCTCTCACCCGAGGCCTCATCGGAAAAGTCTGCCTTCTGTAGTGACTTGCACATGGGCAAAATGTCATTTCCTAAATTCTTTTTCAGTTGCAGATTAATCGACATATTTGGGAACTCGGGAAAATCCAAAGCAGTGGAAATGTTTGTGGCTCTGTACTTATGTAGTCTCCCACTCTCCGTTCTGCAATTCAGGTGAATTCCCTGGAGCAGGCTATGCTGGACGCACTGGTTCTGGATCGAGTGGACTTTGTGAAACTACTCATTGAGAATGGGGTGAACATGCAGCACTTCCTCACTATTCCTCGACTGGAAGAACTTTATAATACCGTGAGTGAGCGGAAATAATAAAATGCCCTGTGATACCTTTGCTACTGTATTTAACAGGGGTGTCC